ACCTTCTTATGGAGCCAAGAAATACGAGTACCAAGTTTCATCATGAAATCTTAATTTTTACTCTCTCTCTACTCGTCACCTTGATCACTTTGGTATATATGTATATCTGACTCTTTGAGGTTTAGGACTTACAAACAATCGTTATGTGAACAAACTCGAAGAGTAAAAAAAAAAAAAAACCATCTAACGGTGTGATAGTACACGATCTTGTTGGCCAATCGACCGAAAATGTAAAATTATTTGTTCAAAAAAAGTGATTTCTCAATAAATCTATTGACTGATGCGATTTATGGGAGGTGGTGCCGTCTTGTTTAAACCAAATGTCACCGAAATCAGAGCTTCACATTCAGGGATCAAACAGTCGGTTATCATGGTGCGATAACGGTCGTCATTGACGGTTACGTTCTCACCGGCATTAAAATATGGACCAATGAATCCACTGGCCCACAAACCACATCAAACCGTTCTTTTTTCTGGATGAAATGGCAGCTCTTGAATCTCTTCAGGTTGCTCTTCACCCCAAATGTGGCTATTTTGCTTGTTCACGTACCAATCGATCAAATGGGTCTTATCACTGAAAAGAATTTGGTTCGAAAACCATGGATTACCAAAAGAGCGTAGGAATGTCGCGTGGAAAGGTCGAGCGTCTTCATTTCTTGCACAAGCTGTATTTTGTGCACTTTTAATTTAAGATTTCGACGTAAATTGCGCCAGGTCGTTCCATCCGAGTTGCAGTAAATGGCGCAGAATCGACTCTCTACGGTGTTTGTTCGCACTCTCAGCAACGGCTGCTTTATATTCTCCACTGCATGCTGAACGTGGTCTATCCGGTCGAATATTATCCAATAATGAATGCTCAGTCTTAAGATGAGCTCGGTCAGTAGGGCGATTAAGTTGACCATAAGTTGAGCGATGCGTGTGAAACGCATTCCATAGAGAACACGAATCTTCGTAATAACGTCGAACGATTTGTAAATGTTGTTCAGTCATAAGTCTATTCAAGATGAAATGAGAAAAAGGCTATTCAAAAAAGTAGCTCTACTTAGACCACACGTTAATAGCTATAGATGCCAGCAGCCAAAGCATATCATATTTATAGGAACCAACGTTTTTTAAAGGTCGCGTTGGCCAGAAATTTAGCTTCGAAAGTGGAGAAATAGGAAACGTCGACGCATTATAGCCGGCAGTCATCGCTAGAAGGCGCTTTTCTGAAACAGAAAAAGGAACTTACAAAAAAGGGCTATTGGAAAAGTATCTCTCCAGGATCACCTGTTATTGTCCGATTTCCTTTGATTTTGTTGTGTTAAGTATATTATAAGCGGATCTATGTTAGTTTTTGTAGAGTTATGTATGCAATATATTGTATATATGCATAACCCGTTATATTTAAGTAGATTTTAATTCTCCACTTACGATAGACACACACTAATGCAGCGGTGAGTCGATTGAAATTCATTGAATGGCGACAGTCCAGTATTTTAATGCTTTCATGGCACACACAGGCGCACACACATTCAAGTGCATGTGTGTGTGTGTRAGTGTGTGGTGTTAGTGGTGATTATTTAAATATATTTGCGCGCAAGCTTTCGCTACATTCCTGGTGAGCCGCCTATTTGACCAAAGCAAACTGCTTCCCAGCCCACAAATGCAACCAAAATGTTTACATGCGCCTGTGTATGTGTGTGAGTGCATATACTTATGACAGAGTATACGTGCTTATGTGATTGTGTGTAAACGCGAGTATGCAAACATTGGTTAAATAAAGTGGTCAACGACTTAAATGCCAATAATGCGCTCAAACGCACACAAAAAAGTGTGTCCGAACACACACACACACACACATACATATAAGCGCATAAATCTCTCGATTACATATACATATGTATATATGTTTGTGTTTGTGTGCCTCGCATTGCATGGGTTTGTAGTAAAATTAACAAAATGGTTGCAGCATAAGCAACAACAACAACAACAAAAACTACTGATAGTTGTTAACTAAAGCTGCGCGCTAAGCCACCGCGCGCGTGTGGTGGGTAGCAGGAGGCGAAGTGCAGCTTTCACCAACACACAAACACACACACACACACATACACGCACATTTTTATCACACGCATATAAAATTAACCAGAATATTTACCACATTGCATTGGTTGGCAACATTTTTTGTTTAAGTATTTATTTTTCGGTTAATCTCACTCACTCGSTCCCGCTCTCTCTCTCTCACTCTCTCTCTCTTCCTCCTCTTTTCAGCCCGCAGTGGTATTACACAGCGTGGATTTGCGGTAATTTATAAATGCAACACTGTGCCTACACTACTAGAGGCGACTCTGCCGTTTAACGGTACTAAGCAAATGGCCACACCGAGAGTTGCCACTCGCGCCTATTTAATTAAATTTGTGCATCACTCACGGACATTACATATGTATTCAATATACAAAAAAAAAAAAAAAAAAAAAAAAAAAAAAAAAAAAAAAAAAAAAAAAAAAAAAAAAAAAAAAAAAAAAAAAAAAAAAACACACAACAAAATAAAAGAACAACAACAACAAAGCAAAGTATAACAAGCCTCGTCTATCCCAGTTAAGTAGGTTTTATTTACTCGCCCATTATTGTTTGCAAATAAAATCAGCTTGTTGTTGCTGTTGCTGGCGCAGTTTTGTCCATTGAGGCAAAAAGCTTTAATAACATAATCGAATTTACCACTCGCCATTGAGCACTTTTTTCTGTGTGCTCTCTCTCCTCATCCGCCCGAAACTTCGGCGTTGACGGATTACCGTTATTTGTAGAAAAAAGCGTATTTAACAGTTAGTCGTTACGTGGTGTGTGTGTGTCGCGCTTGACGGCCCGGTGGCAACCGCAACCGTTTTTGGTCAAACTTAAAGCGGGATTTTTCAAAACCGAAACTAATCGTTTTGTGTGAATTTATGTGGTTTTCGATTGTTTTTTTTGTTTTATTTGATTGTATTTGAGTCAGTTTTTTCATTTATTGAACTTTTTTCTTTGTTCGTGATTTCGCATGAAGTCGTCAAAGCACTTAAAGGCAATAAAAAACCGTCATAGAGAGCGCGATATTTGAGTATTTTTATATATGTATATTTTTTAAAGTCAAATCATCACGGTTATATTCGAAGAAATGAATGCGTAAGCATTTTGAGAAGATTGCGGCTTTCTAGAAAGAAATATTTTTCACAAAATAGGTTTCATAGCTCAACATAACCCCACCTTAATCTTAATTTGGTAGAAATTTGACTTGTTCTTTTGCTTCATTAAATTTTCTTGCTGTTTTAAAATAAATGTTTTCATGAAGCTACCTGGCTATCTGCGGATCGAAAAGCCACCAACAAGACTGATTATGTTGTGATGGATGTAAGATGCGTCTCCACTATTTTAGACGTGTGTACGCTCCAAAGCTCCTGTACAACAAAAAACATCCGTTGACAAACACCAGGAAGGTTCGACGTCGAGAAGCTGCAATCACAACGGACAGCAGAACGATTTTCTACTCGATTTTCACTCCTGCGCTCCGAGGGCACTTATCAGCAACTGTGTATAAGGAAGTTGTGGATGGTTTTCGGAAAATACGTAGGAACTGCCGGAGAGAAAACAAAGAAAAGAACACTACTCCAACATGCTGAATGACAGGGAAATTATAACGCCCGGAGAAGGCGAACACGCTTCCCCAATTGTTGGTGCTGTGGCAGACTTCCATTGACCGACCATGAAGTAGTTCGAATAGCAATTACCCAACCGAAGAACAGCAGAGCGACGGGGGACCTTGGAATATTTGGTGAATATAATTAGAATTTMAGTGTGCTCTGAATAATCCACAAAAAGGGAGACCCCACAATCTGCGCCAATTACCGTGGGATAGATAGATAGATAGATAAATAACTGAGGAATGCACTGCGACCCTAGGTTTATTGTGCCCTCTCCTAACTCACAGGGACTCGCTTAGTCCCAGCATATTGACGCAGTCCAGTATTTTGCTGGGATAAGCCTCCTCAATATCGCATATATGGTTCTACCGAGCGAATTGTGTGAAAAATTTAAGCCCTCTGTCAACACAGTTATTGGATCTTAACAGTGTGGCTTCAGGCCTGGAAAGTCAACAACCGACCAGATAATCACCATGCGCCAAATCTTGGAAAAGACCCGTGAAAGGAGAATAGACACAGACTACCTCTTCGTCGATTTCAGAGCTGCTTTCCACAGCACGAAAAGGAGATACCTGTGTGGCGCGATGTCAGCCTCAAAATCCAACGAAGAATAACTCTTGCCCCAAAAAATCAAATTCTGGGAATCACTCATCATCCCTATCCTGCTATACGGCGCAGAGATATGGACGACGACAACATCTGATCAGTCGGCGTTAGGAGTTTTGAAGAGAAAGACTCTGGGGAAGGTTTATGACCATTTGTGTATTGGCAACGGCGAATACCGCAGTCGATGGAACGATGATTTGTACGAGATATACGGCGACATTGACATAGTTCAGCGAATTAAGTGACAACGGCTACGCTGGCCAGGTCATGTTGTCTGAGAGTATTTGACTCAGTACCAGTCGGTGTAAGCAGAGGAAGAGGAAGTTGGGAGACTAAGTGAAGAAGGACCTTGCCACACTTGGAATCTCCAATTTAATTACATAAAGAGTTCTACTTCTTAATAAAGGTTGTTAAAAAAAATTATAGAGACATTTTTACTTTCATACAAATAAGCTATATAAACAGTAGAATACTTTAAAATCCGAAAGCGAAACAAACGTTTATCAAGATGCATATTTCCTGGATAAATTTTTGCTCCAAATGATCAGTACTTCTGAAATAATTTTTTTAGTTCGCTTTCCCACAATTATTTCTTAAATTGTTGGTGCTATCGGCATTTCAATGCAATTCTCACCACACGACTTTTTCATATTGTTAATCAGCTAAATATATATGTTTATATAGTATATGTTAAAATAATTTCCAATTTAATAATATTATATCACAAAAATTTGTACTTACTTTGACAATTTCCGATGGGCGGCATGCGAAAGCCTGATAAAGGATCGGCTGAGAAATGGAACGGTCGCTGTCCGAATGCGAAATGGAACTGTTGTTGTTGTCCTAAAAGCGACAACACTGAATTGTTGTAAGTTTTAAAATAACTGTTCTTATCTTAAGTTGATTTGTCGAAATAGCAATGTTATAAGTTATTCGTGTGTTGATGTGTTGATGTAATGGGTGGAGTGAGGTTATGTTTCACAGTTATGCATCTTATGTAAGAACGAACTCAGCAGCAATATTGAGCTCTGAGTTTCTAAATATATCAGTTAGTGTAGCTAGAAAATAATTGGGGTTTTGCCCTACGATCTTCCCTTTGACATACCCCTCTACTGCCATAAGCAGCAGTTGCAGTTGGGTAAGTGCTCATTGCCTCTCAAGCGCAGAAGCAAGCAAGCTCTTGACCTACCGAAGACTGAGACCGAAGACTGATCACTGACTGAAAGAGGTGTAAGATGTGTACGGATAGCATGCCATGCAATGAGTTAGCTAGTGTCAAGCAAGACTCGTTGTACGATGGACATACGCTTAATATGTCACCCAAAACGAAATTTCTAGGCGTTTCTCACGCTAAGTGCTGTGGCGGTGCTGTGCGCTTTTCGGAAGCCATGCGGTGGTTTGCTATATCCAGGTGGTGCTTGAAAGTCAAGAGTTACAAGACCTCAAATGTCTTCACTACTGGCCAGAGCAGAGTTATCGGATGATGAGATTCCCTTTGTTGGCTGTTTAAGCTTTTTAGGACCATAGCTGTCTTCTGTTGGCCGCTCGGGTGGATTGGCGGCGCAGTGCTGGAACTTGGTTAAGATTGCAAAGCCGTAGAAGCTAAGGTCGCAGTAGTGCGTTAACAATATTGGGCCACGTTGGCCTGATCTACTCCCTATGTATTTTAAGGCCTGAGCAGGTCTTCGGGTGACTCTATCCAATGCATGTTTTACACCCAACCGGATGGAGTGTTTTGACGCAGGCTGAGCAGAAAAATTCCTCAGGGCCCGGCTTGGCCTAAATGCCAGCACGAATGAAGAGGCTACAGAACAACCCTTGTGAAGTCAATCTCAATCTAAGTCTTGCCGGTCCAAACGAGGTTACATCACTGAAGGTACAGTCCTTGGCCAGATAAATCCGGGTCGATTACGGTAACGTAAGAACGGCTGTTGTGGGAATTCACATAACCGTTAGTCAGGGTCTATGCTAAAACCAAAAAATGATTCCTTGGATTGTTCTCAAAGTAGACATGCCTACGCTAAAGTAACAGACCAATTTTTATAATCGATTAAAGAGTATGTCCTCGATAAAGATACCCGAAACTATATCAGAAATATTTTATGGTGCCTGAAAAACAACAAAATCTTTAAATGTGGCACTCACAAACAGTTTAGGTCTGAACATTGTAAGCTCACACTAAATTTCTACTTAATTTAAGTACTTAACCCATTAGCTGGCAGCTGTAGCGCCCATGCCGCGGCCAACTTCATTATAAAATTATAACCTTTCGTCTGGTCAAAAGGGACAAGCCATTGTTTTAACTGCTGCACCCCAAGCTTGGCAAAGTGAACATATAACTAACAACAACAACCACTAGAAACATGCTATACACTTCATATGTGCACTTATATACATATACTGTGTAGGTATGTGTGTCTGTGCCTTCCAACGGCAAAAGCGAGTGTCTTTGGCTGTGCTGCTGCAGTTGGTGGCGAAAGATAAATCATTTGCGGATTCAATTGTTGCAACTATTTCATTTTGCATGCGGCGCAGAGACGGACGGCCAAATCCTTTTGTCCTTGACTGCCGGCCGCTTGGACGGTGCGGCGGATGAGCGGCCAGCGGGCTGAATGAGTTAGTAAGTTAGTGCAAACTAACTGTAAGCCTTCCACACACACACACACACACATATATATATATACACACATGTGTATGTGTGTGTGTGTGCTTTGTGGACGCAAATGAATCTGCTGGCAAATGTGCCGCTGTAAGAACTCATCTGTCTCGAATTGTCTGCATTTAACATATGCAAAGTAAAATATTTGCATGCTTATAAATATTTAGTGCATGGACAGGGCAATGAATGGCAGGACTTTTGAATGCACGAAAGGATGAAAAGGCAGCGAAGCTAGTCGGTCGGCAAAATGGTGGCAACGCCGGCAAACGGCAGACGTATTTGGTCCAACAAAGGCATATTTCATTCATTCGCCAAAATGGTGTGTTTCCGCTCTCGCCAACACCCCGCCATCCTCTCTCACTTCCTAAGCAGACGTTGCATGAATTCATTTGCTGAAGTTTATAGGCTTCTTCTGCGTGCATGTGTGTATGTATCAGGGTGTGTGTGTGTGTTTGCATATGTTTGCTGGGATTTGCTAATGAATAATCTTAAAGATGAATTGTTTCATTAGATGGACGCAACACATACACAGTCTGAGTTGGCTGTTGCACGTACAGAAAAGGACCCCTCTGTGCGAGCAGGACAACAGCAGCAAAGCCAATGCTATAAATTTGTATTGCAACAGCGAAGAAGAGCATAACGGTAAATAAGTTGCGAGCATTTCACTATCTTGCAACTAATAAATTGTTGCTGTCATTGTAGTTGCTTTGTTGCCGTCGCATATTTTAGTTCGGGCATCTAAATTAAATACTTTGTCGGCAAGCGGCTTGTGGGTTGGGGGACAGTAACTCCATCTAAGCTTTGTTCACTGCGCTTAATATGCATGTGTACTGCTGTATTACAAATTTCTTTGCGCGTGTGTGTGTGTGATTTGTGTGTGTGTGTGTTGTTTTGTTGTTGCATACTTACTGGTCTTTGAGCGCGGTTCACGCGGTCCATCCACTGTCACTTTGATCGCTTTGTTGTAGGTGGCAATATGTGGCGGATTCGTGGATACCGTTATTGTCAGCGTAAAACTCTTCCCTGAAAAGTAGAAAAAATTTTTTTTTTAAATTTAGTTTTATTTAAAAAATTTTTATTCGCAAAAATGAAGACGTTATTGCAAAAATAAAAAACCGTAGGAAAACAAAATTTGCTTTCTTGTTGTTGGTTGGAACATTGAGTGAATAATATTTACAGCACCTGCTGAGAAATATTAGTGGTAGAATTTGTTTCGAAATTTCAAAAATGAAGTTTTGAGAAAAACGCATACAAAGCTAAACTGATGAAGCTGATTTTAAAGTCATAAGATAGTGAAAATAAATCAATGGTTTTCAAATTTCACACCAAAAATTTTGAAGAATTCTCGAAAAGGATTTGTCTTATTAAGCTTAGGTTAGTCTGGTAGGCCAATGGGTTACCCACAGGCCAGTTCTGGTGCTTAGTGATATCAGTTTTGTTTCTTTTCTAGGTCCATGAGGAATAGTCGTTCTCAGGATGCCTGCACTTGACGCAGAATCAGTAGACTCTCTGACCTCACTATCGATTCCTCCTCCAGTATATCATGCTTTGGGAATCTCAAACACTTACAGCATAGCCGTGCCATTGCGGGACAAAGGCACAAAAGATACGCCGTTATTTTCCAACTGCTTTGCTCTAGATGTTTCCTGCTGTATTCTCGATCTGTCTGGCATATTCTGCGGACAGAATATGATCAGTTGGTATTCCGTTCATTTTCCTAAGGTCGCTTCTATCGTGTGCCACTAGGAATGTGTACTCCTCGTTCCATCGTGTTTTGATATAGACAATGCATTAGTTTCCCAATGTTGATCACATTTTCATAATTCTTGGCCATCTCATACCTGGCACTCAGTAGAAGTAACGTTGCTTGCTTCTGACAATCCGGTAACGCTTCTGGTCGATATGTGATACGAGGTTGATTGCTGCTTGGTTGTCTACGTAGAATTTGACTCTGAAATTACCTGCAGGTGCATTAGAGGCCAACTTCGCGGATTGCCGTATATCTAACCCTGGATAGTATATTTCCGCACTAACTCCATCGTCCATTTTCGAGCCATCTGTGTAGATGTTTAGAGTGTTGCGCGCAGTTAACATACCCTTAAGCCGACCATATTCTTCTAGGTTTACTTTGAGCCTTCTTTATTAGTCGAAAAGTGGATCATGTAGTCGATGTTTGCCAAACTACTATTACCCTGCCATACCCACGAGGAGAAATTGCTATATGTAAATTCAATTGCAGCCGGCATATAAAGCATTGGTAAACTTTATCACTCTACACCAAGGTACTTGGTGCGTCCCTTGAAAGAGAATTGTGTCCTATTTATCGAAGAAAGCGTTCATGGAGGAATTTTTTGCTTTTTTGCGAACGCAAGCAGATTTCTGTGAGTTTAACCCCAAACCGTTTTGCGATGCCCAACTCTGAACTGTATTGACAGTGATGTCAATGGTCTGTATACACCTACTCGTTATTAGGATGGCAAGGTCGTCCGCGCACTCTACTTGTACTATCGTAGAGGATTTGCCGTCTAAGTTCCTTAGTAGTTTATTCATCACTAATATCCATAGAAGTGGAGATAGCATTTCACCTTGGGAAGTACTTTTACATACTTCCTCAGTCGTGCTCTTTTGCTCTTATGCCTGTAAAAGTCCATCATTGTATGGCAGAATCAACATCTATGGACCGAATGCTATTCAGAATAGATTTCGTAGACACCCAAGACGCTCCAAGAGTGTAGTCCTTATGTTCAAGAGTCCTTTATATAAGTGTATGGAGTGCAGTCTCTACTGATCTGCCTTTCTTATTTGAGTGCTGGTCTTGGATGCACTCCACCTGAACTCTTTCAATATAACCTCTCTTTAGTTAGTTTCAAGAAAACGGCAGCTTTTACGCCACAAATAAAGATTTATAAGTTAGTTTGGTGACGAGCACAAGTAAACGAAAAATTAATGACTATTTTGGTGTGACATTTTTCACAGAAACAACCTAGAGAAAGAATATTTCAACAAATGGGTTTTCTCACGAGATTAAAATAAAAAAGTCTTACTTTTTTTTTTTTGCCAAACGGAGTAGCCCTCTCCTTAATGAATGGCGACTCAATTAACCCACCAAATGATGAGCTCCTTTAAAGACCCTTTATTTGGGGCTTAAGTGGCAAACCAAGAAAACACAAAGTGGCAAGAAAAGTTAGCCTTTTAGCCGAGAACAACAACAAACTCCACAAAATAATGCACAAACAAACAAACAAAAAAAGGTGACTGTGTAGATTTCTTGAAATAAAAAGGACGACGAAGCAACCCCCAATAAGCAAATAAAGAGAGCGAAAAAAGAAGCAAAGAACACGCATAAAAAATGAGCAGGGCATGAAATTGCGCAATGGTGGGCTTGCGGGCGTAGTGTTGACACGAAGGTGGGCGGGGTGCGTAAATTTCGGGGAGCACAGCAGAGGCGGACAAGGATATCATAATCAGCTCCATTACAACTTACTCGTGTAAGACGAGAAAGGGACTTAGTTTAATATACACGAAGACGTTGGCGGGGCAGGCGTCGTGTGTAAGGAAGCAGGAAAGAAAACAGCAAACACAAAAGTTTGGGTGCCGGTCCGCAGGCGTGCAACAGGAATTCCCAAATGTCATGTCATGCCCGATTATAGGCTTCCGTTTTTTCACGCCGACACCTTGCTGTTGTTTTTGTTGTGCGCTTTTTCGAGTTCATGATTTTTTACATGCCGCCTGTTGTGCCGTTATTTGTTGGCACTGGCATTACAAGGAAAAGCATTTGTTCGCATTTACTGAAAAAACCGCCAAGTGCCAAAGTAAGACAAGAAGATTTATGAGGATTTCGACTTGTCGGCTTTGTGATTTTGCTGCGGCGGCGCCACACCACTTGCCTCATTTGCACTTTCGTCGTCGTTTACTTTTTTTTTTCTTTGTTTCTTCATATTTGTTTTAGTTCTTATTATTGTTTGAGCTCATTATTAGCTGCGTTCTGAAGCAGCGAACCTTTACATTTGCTGGCGTATAGTTTTAGGCGCGTCAGCTTAAGTTGTTGCAACAACATTCTTGGGCTTTGAAATTTAATTAACTCACGCAATACAGTTTTGTTTTCGCATTTCTTCATGCGCGCCACAGATTCTTTTGTCAACATCAAGTGTGAAGAAGTGCAAAAGCTTTTAACTCGGCAAACAAAGCGCCCGCTTGTATGCTTCAGCTTCAGTTTAAAAAGCATATGTGCAAACACAATTATTCTTTTGTTGCTAAAGCGGTGACAACAACAACACACGTGTCTCAGTTTTTCTTCATTTTAAAGCGCAAACGAGCGCCGTTGAGTTGCGTGTCCTTTCGCCACACACGCCTGCTGTCGCTATGCTTACATTTCGTAAGTCCTTGGCTTCATATATCAACACGTTACTTTTCGGTGGATTTCTTTTCTATTGTCTACAATTTGATTTGTTTGCATATGTCTCAGTAATAATGAAAACAATTATGTGGCATGAATTGCCATTAGCAACCCACGCGCTCCAGCGTCTCCTGTGATTAATTATCTGCTCGCAATGTGCGCTGGTAAAGGGTTAAGAGGCAAGTGAGCACAAAGACAACATACCTGTGCGCTTTTCGAGCGAATTTAAGTTCATTTGTAGCGCTTGTAAGCCGTGGCCGCCATATGTGATTTCTTTATTTGTATTAATTTGCTCTAGTCCTTATGTAGTTACTAGTAACTAATTTAAGATTTGGACGAATTTTCAATTAAAATGGCTTTAAAAAAATCTTGAAGAAATTGTCTTATTATTTATTTCAAAGCCATTGTAAAATTTACGTTATAATAATAATAATTTGAAAGATTATTGAATGAAAGACTTGCACAGAACGCCTAACACGCGGTTCGTGCCAAATTTTTCTTGACCAAAGAAACATCAATCAAAAGATTAAGTGTATCGTTGCGTAAAGAGTTCGTAAAAACTTGATTTTATTCTATAAAAGAAATTTAGCCAAGGTTGCTGAACTACCAGAAAAAAATAAAAACTTCTTTAAAAAGCATATTTCAAAACGCTAATGCTTTCTTCACAATTCCTTGGAGAGTGGCTGGTTTATGGTTTATATAATATATTTGATATATTCGTCGAAATATTTTTTCTAGCTTCGTATGATTGTCAGTGACAGCTGTGCCAAATGTCACATCAAAATAATCATTGGTGTATATTACATGCTTGTCTTTCTGAAGTACATAAAGTGTATTCGACGATTTTTACGCTGAGTGAAATTATTCAACAATGAAGTTACATTAAATCGGTGATAATTATAATTCAATAAAAAAGGAATTGGTGCTTGAGAGCTGATGGCTAACAGTCAGAGGTTTATTGTTATCATTGCGATATAGGAAAGGTCACTGAAAACAATTTTAAAATACCACTTATGCCTAAGATAAGTGGAAGCACTTTTGTTCCAAAACTACTGACTTTTTTCGAAAAACTATGTCGAAAAGTAACGTCTGCAAAACAATGCTTGCCGACTACCAGCATGTCATGAAACACATTATAAGTCTCGAATCTATAGTTAAGACCCGAAAACAGACGAACAGTCGTTCTAATATCGTGGCAAGGCAGAACCGAAGATGAAAAAACTACGGCCAAACGTGCCACCAGGCATATTATTGGAGTGTTGCGCAAACCTATTTGTAAAAAGAGGCGTAAAAATGTGCCGACAACTTTTGTGTTTTGAACCACTATACTGCACCATCACATACTGCTTTGTTGCGTCGGATCTCAAGATCATAAGAGAGTAGAAAAGCTGGAAATAGTTAATGATATAAACTTATTACATTGAAAAATTTGGTTTGAAGGAAAAAGTTTTCGAAATATAATTATCTCTAACAGCAAGTTTTACTAAGCCTAGAAATTATATCAAGCTAAATCATTGTTTTTGTACGAAATATCTTGTTGCTAATGGATCGAGAGCTAGTATGTTACTTACTACTACGAAATTTCATTGCTAAACTACGAACGTTAGAGCTTGAAATTCAACAGAGC